GTGTGTGTGGGTGAGAAAACTGTAATTTAAAAAAACGTACAATAACAAAATAATGCACCATTGTAGCTAAAAGAAATATAGGTTTTAATTCTACACGAGCGGCATCACACATAAACATCTCATTTAAAGTCAATGATACGGATATTGTTGACACGCGCGAGGTCCCTGAGAATTACACCGCGCATATTTGTTGGTCTGTAAGTGTAACTGTACCTGTGTTTTTGCTCTTTTTCTGTTTTTTATTTGTTGGCGTTCCACTCGTGCTTTCTGCGGGGGCCGCCATTGCTGCTGTGAGCAGTGACGTCAGACGCTGCGTCTGCTCGTCATGAGCGCGCGGCGAGCAGCGTGGGTACTGCCTCCTGGTGGCGTGGAGGAATACATGAAACAAAAACTCAATTAGCCGCACTAATCAACTAGATTCCGTGTGTGTGTGTGTGTGTGTGAGAGAGAGAGAGAGAGTGTGTGTGTGTGAGAAAACTGTAATTTAAAAAAACGTACAATAACAAAATAATGCACCATTGTAGCTAAAAGAAATATAGGTTTTAATTCTACACGAGCGGCATCACACATAAACATCTCATTTAAAGTCAATGATACGGATATTGTTGACACACGCGAGGTCCCTGAGAATTACACCGCGCATATTTGTTGGTCTGTAAGTGTAACTGTACCTGTGTTTTTGCTCTTTTTCTGTTTTTTATTTGTTGGCGTTCCACTCGTGCTTTCTGCGGGGGCCGCCATTGCTGCTGTGAGCAGTGACGTCAGACGCTGCGTCTGCTCGTCATGAGCGCGCGGCGAGCAGCGTGAGTACTGCCTCCTGGTGGCGTGGAGGAATACATGAAACAAAAACTCAATTAGCCGCACTAATCAACTAGATTCCGTGAAAACACAACATTTCATAATATCCCTTTCACAAAAACTCATATTTGTTTTAATATTTTCATGTTTCTTTTCAGAATAAAGTTTTTCTTAAAATGTCTTATTACTATTACTACTATTATTATAAATTCTAATATTATATTTTTCAAATGAATAATTATAATGAAATATTTAATGTATGAAATATTTTATTTTGGTTTGAATTTATTTATTTAAAATTGTATTACAATTCTGCGGTCTGAAACTTTCTTCACAGACACGGATCACTTTCAGCACAAACACAAACTCACACCGAGAGATCCAATGACTTTCTGTGTCTTGACTAAATGCTGCAGCATTTTACCCAGCAGTGATATTTTAGTATTATTTATTAGTATAAATGTCCTGTTTGTATTTATGAGCTCACAGAATGGGTTTGGAACTGAAAGACCGGCTTAAACGGGTCTGGACCGGACCAGAGTAACTCACCCCAAATAACCTTTCCACAAATGCACAAAGACAATCCAACAGAACGCAGCGAAATATCATGTGGAGGTTATGAGAAACCATCAAACACAGGGTCTGGGCCTGACATCAACTACAGGACGAAACGAGCGCTACGTGTGTTTCCAGAGCCCATGATTTCTCTCACGAGTCCCTCGAGCTCAGATCACATCAGACACAAAACTCCCCACAGCCAAAAACATCCTCTTCAATACAACACAGACAGAAATATACAACGAGACAGAAAGAGAGCAGCGATTCCTGCTCCAGACCATCGTTTGCAGGCAAATCCTGCATCAGAGAAGCACGAGCGAGAATAAAACACCTCGACCGGAAAATAATGATCCAATCGAGCCACTGCACAGCTTTAATAATCACCAGCTATAGGGCTTTAAATCATGCCTGCAGTGTGTGCACTTTGAAGGAGGAGGAATATCAAAGAGCTCCTGATTGTGTTCCAGAGATTTGAAGCCACAAAATGTGTTTTTATTTTATTTTGAAATGCATTATAATGTTTTGTGAAAACATTTGTTAGCTATAATATTATGTATTGTTATATTGGTGCATATATATTCATATACAAATTATTACAAATATAAGTCATTATAAAAAAAATAATATTTTTTTTATTCATTGAAATGTTTGTAAAACATTTGTTAGCCAATATTACAGTGTATTGTTGTAATATTTTTTATTATTGTAACATTTGCCATATTTATAAAATATAAATATAGGTTAATATAAAAAATGTATTATAAGTTATATAAATTATTATAAATATAAGTTACTATAAAATAATATAGTTTTTTTTTTTTTTATTAAAACGTTTTGGTAAAACATTTGTTAGCCGCATTACTGTGTATTGTTATACTGGTGCATTTAAAATATATATAAATTATGATAAATATACATATGAATTAATATAAATATATATTTATTTTAATGCATTAAAATGTTAGGTAAAACATTTGTTAGTCAGTACTATTGTGTATTTTTGTATTGGTGCATTTAAAAGTATAAATCATTATAAATATAACATTTAAAGATAAATATTTTTTAATGCATTAAAATGTTTTGTTAAAACTGACTATGTATTTATATTGGTACATTTAAAAAAAAAAAAAATATATATATATATATAAAGTTATTCTGAAAAAATATATATATTTTTTAATGTATTTAAACGTTTAGGTAAAACAAATGTTAGCCAACCAATATTATTCATTGCTATATTGGTGCATTTAAAAAAATAAAAATAAAATTATAAATAAGGTATTATAAACCTTTAATCTTATAAATATAAGGTATATAAGGTAGGTAAAACATTTGTTACCCAATATTACGATGTATTGTGCATTTAACAAATTAAATATAAATGATTAATATAAATAATATAATAATATAAATTATTATAAATACAAGTTATCTTAAAAATAATATGTTAATTAACAAATAATAAAAAATAATATAAAAAAACAAATATAATATAAATTATTTAAAAATCATTCAAATTTTTCCAGTGCATGTTATTCCAAATGAAAACAATATTTGTCTTTGTAAGATTTTATTTGATAAAATTAAATACATTTTATTGTACTTTCCATCCATATATTAATATATATAAACATACTGTATGGCCGCTGCTCTGTTAGCACTAGCTGTCATTGTCCTCGCTGCGACGTCTCATGAGAAATAATTCAGACGTGTCAGCATTTCTGCTGCATCATGGGAAACCGAGCGGATGTGTCTCTAGAGGACGCCAGTGTGTCACACACACACACACACACACACACACACACACACACTCTCACACTCTCTCTCACACACACACACACACACACACATACACACACACACTCTCACACACACACACACACGTTTACATTTGTGAAAAGTGGGGACTCTCCATAGGCGTAATGGTTTTTATACTGTACAGACCGTATATTCTATTGCCCTTTACCAACCCTACCCCTAAACCTACCCCTCACAGGAGACTTTCTGCTATTTCAGATTTTCAATACACTCCATTCTGTGTGATTTATAAGTGTTTTGAAAAGTGGGGACATGGGGTAATGTCCTGAAAAGTCACCTTCTCCTTGTAATACCTGTCATACCTTTGTCATTTGTCACAAAAACACGCGCACACTCTCTCTCACACACACACACACACCAGATCCCAGAGGAATTCATATCTGCATGTAATAATGAAAATCTGTCATTTAGAGCTGACTGACCGCTGTCAGTCATTTCCCATCATGCATCAGTCCTGCTGTTTCTCTGCCCTTCATGCATGTAGAGGCCCGTTTGAGGGTGAATTAGGAGTGAAACGTGTGTGCTGTTGAAGGACAGCAGCAGCGCTGAGCACAGCGGGATCGTGGGTCTGTGAAGGACTGAACTCAGGACTTTCAGATGGAAACACAGAAAGGAAACACTAGCTAGCAGCTCTCTGATGAAAATGACATGAGCAATATAAATCAGACATATTAAATCACCATCCACATGATGACACATATTTGATAAACCGCACCTTTCTATATATGATGATGAATACAAATAATATCAGTAATATATACACAAATTACATATATAGGAAATACATATTTAGTTATTTAACAAACAATAATAATAATTACATATATATATATATATATATATATATATTAATTAAACACAAATGCTAAAAATAGTAATACTTAATAAAATGTATTTAAATAATGAATACATCAATGCATAAATAATACATACATAAATAAAATAAAATGTATTACTTGGTAAACAAAAAGTAAAATACTCAAATACTAATCAATATCAACTCAAATAAACTCAAATACTAAAATTTAATCAAATTAAATCTGTTAAATAATAAATTGATAAATTAATAAATGTATAAACACATTGCAATACGTAAATTTAACATTTATAAATAAAGTATGACTTAAAACATTTTTAAAATTAAATTTAGTCCTGAATTTATTTTTGGAAAATCCATTTATGTTTACGGAAAGTACATTTCCTCCCTTTACTCACCATTAGCAGATATGACCAAATGTTTGTTTTGAACTCTATCTGCGCTGACGTCAGTGTGATGAGATGATGATGAGATGTTACTAGGAAAGACAAAATAGTAGACAAGAAATGTATAAAAATAATAATAAACTTGAATGTTGATTCTAAAACATGCGGGTCGAGTGAACAGTACAAATAAATCAGACATGAAGGAGTGTTTGATGAAGGAAGTGACTGTTCAGTTAACGGTCAGAGTTCTGTTGAATGTACACAAACACACACCTTCACGGAGGATTTGAGTTCGTTCGTGGCCCTCATCCTGTTTCTGTGTTGTTTAGAGCTCTGTTCCAGCGAACTGTTCACACACTGCACACTGCACACGTCTGTCAGGAGAGACCCAAACAAACAGCATGAAGGACGTTTATAGCTCATCAGAAATGAACAGGAACTCAGTCCAGCAGACGGTAACACCACAGTATTTTAATGCATAGCCCACTCTTGTACTGTTTGATTAGCATATTCATATACTTTGACACTTCAACATCAAGAATTTCATGACAAAAAAAACATGCTAGAGATAATATATTTTATATAAAATAAATACATAAAAAAAAACTTTAATTCTCTCTCTCTCTATATATATATATATATATATGAAATTATTAAAAAAACATTTATTTTTACAAATTATTTTGCATAAAGTAAACAATTTAAAAGACTATTATTATTTATAGTATTATGACAAATTAATATAAATTATTATTATTATTATTATTAATTATTTTTTATAAATAAATATTAGACATTTATTAGAAATGCAGTATAACATATCTAATTACATTCATAAATATACATATATTTGTCATTGTGACAATATATATATAGAAATTAATAACATTCATAAGAAATTCTAAAAATATTTATTCATGACTTTACTTTCATTGTTATTATTATTATTAATAATATAAATACATTCTGTAAGTATATTAAATATAAATATATTGTTTTCCTTGTTTATACTGTGCTTTTTTTTGTTTTTGATTCCATATTCCTATAAAATATACATATTTTAAAATATTGTGACGATGGAATTATTTCACTCTTTTTATTTCCATATTTATTTCGATATGATATGTGATATTATATGATATGATATCATACCATATCATACATCATATATAGTATATCATATATCATATTATATATATTTTTAAACCAATGGTAGACTTTAAGCCAAGATTGGTAAGGTTTAAATGATTAAATAGGGCAATGCATGGCTGGTGTTGCGTGCCAACGAAGTACACAAGTGTTTGATACAGACACACAGCGATGTGTGCCGTTATTAGAGCTGGTCAGGCTAATTAAAACTCAGTCCAGCGCAGGAGCGACAGCAGCAGAGACTCAGGACACACACACACACACACACACAGAGCGCCGGATGAATACTAATGACCCAGTGCGGCTCGTACGCCACTGATCCAGGGTCAGATCCTGCACGAGAACAGCTCATTCAGCCATCATTACAGCTGCAGAGACACTGATCCCAGTCCAGCAGGTGAAGGAAGGTCATTATCCAGTCCGTGAGGAGCTCCGCTTTATGATTCGATATAAAGCTTCTTTATGCAGCTGTCCTTTATGGACAATAATTATGCTCTGAAGCCCCACCAGGAATTGTAATATCATCTCTCGTCTCACTACATTCAACCTGAATGATCTCTATCATGCACAGCATCTTTAATATGCAGCACAGGCTTGCATTTTATAACCAACTCCCCAAAAACACTGTAAGGAGAGAGAAAATCATCTGTGAACTCACAGGCTCAATGGCAGCGACGCTTCAGAGGGACTTCAGAGCGAAACACTGCAGCAGAACATGTATTAAACTCTCCACTCCACAATTAAATCACCACTTAACCACGGGTTCAGACCCAATTAAGAAATTAAGCCACTCAGTGTTGTCCTGAAGGGCGTTAATGACTGTGAACTTCCCCTGTTCCCAGCGGGCCATTAACACACAGGATATTTACTGACACACACACACACACACACACACACACACACACAAGCTTATGTTCTCTCCT